CAATCGAATAAAAGGAGCACCAGCTGAGACACATGACGTCTATGTTCTGATTACTGCAATAGGATTCTAAGGTACTGAACTTTTCTGACTTGTTTTTATACCATAAAAAAAAATCAAGCAGTTATAAGACCCCAACCACCATAAAGGGTTAGCTTTGACAATATATCATCAGTGCCGGTTACAAAAGAGAAATGAGGGGCTAGTAATAGGGACTGATAATTCAAATTATTTGCAATAAACTTAATAGTTAAAAACAAATCATTCAGATGCATGATCTCATTTGATGCTCAGAACAACTGAAATGCAAAGATAGAAGAAAACATAAGGCATGGAAAGATGAAGATATCTTTTCTCAAAATGGACATGAACTTGGGTTTTCTGAATCCAAGTCTAGGACCCTTTCCACTATATTACTCTGTCACCACGGACTGGAAAACATTTACTTTGCCAGAGCCTATTAGAATATTATAGACGTCTCCTTCCTGATGTCACCTCATACTACAAGCACCTTGTAGGCCAATAGTAGAAGCCTAGTATATACAAATGTGTTCGTTGGTGTCCATACATCAGAGAAAGGCTAGATTGTGACACAGCTAATGGATTTCAGATGTTCAAAAATCTTCATCAACATCATTTCTGAACAAAACTGTCATATGTAAATTTCCCTTTGTTACCTCCAGTCTTTCATGTCAATAATACTTTTCTCCTTTTTATCTCCTATTGTCTTGTTCTAAAATGGCTAAACTCTTTCTGCAACTTCCTGCACTCAAGTCAAATATTTCTGATACTTGCAAGCATTCTATTCTTTTTCTCGGAAAACATCGTAACACCTGATGCCCGCATCTACCAGGGTGATCAAAGAAATGATCATGCTGGGGCTGCATTATCCCTAACTGAGAGAATCACCCTTTCCAAATGTCCCTGCTGGACATTTGTGCTCAAGCCACCCCCTACAGGGATTGGCAAGCACAACATTTGAGCTTGAGCTCCACTTGGCTACAGATAATAAATAGAATTTCCAAGGGAAGAAACCTGAACCTCTAGTTTTTTGAAAGTGGGCCTATTTCTACTTGTATCTGAAACACCTCTTGAGCTGATAACTCCTTAGAAAATGAAGGAAACCATATTGCATGCAAATGTAGGTTTTAATGTCACACATCACACTTTCAAATTTAGGTCTCCAGACATAGAAAAAAATTAGTGTGCATGGCATGCACAAAGAAGTGGAGTGAATAATTATCTCCTGGCATCATCCATTCCAGATCCTATTCCAAAATGAATGCTATAGTGGGACATATTTATTCACATTGGGATGAAATTTAGGATATAACTCTAATTTTATTTTCAAAGAAAATTTCATTAAAATAGATAAAGGCTTTGTTTCAAAGAGACAGAATCAGAACTAATGTATTTTGCCCAGGTTTGAGCATTTCATTTGGCCTCCTTAAAAGCTTAATGTTTAAAGTGGCATTCTCAAGATGCAATAACACTGACAAAGGAGTATCTGATACGATGATGGAGTACACCATGGTAAATCAATGGACAATGAGACAAATCACCCAAATGGGGAAAGTGGCCCCTCTGTTAACACAGAATCAATATTTACCATGGCTTCAGAACCAGGTAATTGTGAATGGACTTAGCTTGTTTTTTCATCTGAACTGAAGATTTTGAAAATTTGTGTTTTGACAAGATCTGACCCAGGTCTCTATGGATCTTATAGATGGAATGCAACTGGCAAATCTGACTCATGACTTTGTTTATACACTTGTGCTTCAGCACATCAGAAAAGCTATTTTTTCCCTGTAGTTTCTAAGAATGGCTCTCAATTACAGAGCCTAAGTCTGATTCATTTCTGGTCCCCTTTTCTAGCTTACATCCATTTTCCTTCTTGTGTATATGCCCATTATGACATCTTTCAGAGGCCATCAGGGATATGGAATAGACATGAAATATTTTATTGACTTGAAAGTATACAGGAAAGATTCCTTCCAATAAGAAAAATTATGTGTATGCATTTCCTTTTCCCTTGCCAGTGTATGGCAGCAAGGAAAACAGAGAAGAACTAATATTTAATAAGACATCTAGAAAAGCCATTTCTTATACCTCAATCACCCATATTTCACTCTTGCTTTTATTTTTGTGGTCAAATCTTGCCCTTCTGTCCTCCTATTAATTACTATTATTATTGTTTTCAAAATAATCATCATCATCATGTTTATTGTTTTCATAGCCATTTGGTTTTTAGCATTTACAGCATGCCTGTCACTGTCTAGATACAGTCACATTTCCTAATCATCCTTCATTTCTACCTACTATATAAAATTTCTCATTGGTACATTGCTAATCAACCATAGTAAGTTACAATAAGTCTATAGTGTTCTTCCTAGCCTCCTCACTGTTACAAGTTCCCTATGATCTCTTTTATTTCTTTCTCCTCAGCTCAACTAAGATCATCTTTGCTAGTCACTGTGACCACTGGTTGGTTCCTCAAAAGTTCCTACCCTCAACGTCTACTACAACTAATTGGTCGCACTAATCTTCATAAATGATCTACATTTTCCTCTCTTTCTTGGTCCTTATATCCTCATTCCAGAGAAAAGATGACTTCTTTTAACTACATTGTGTATATGTGCATATTTGTGTTTGTCTGTGTGTGCATATATATAACACTCTCTCTATATAACTCTATATACAACCCTCCCCTCTCAGATGCAGTGTGGGGTGGGTTGATAAAACATAAATATGCAGAAGAACCATATTAGACATATGAAGTTTCAATGGGAATACCAAGGAGTGAGAATTATTTTACTCTAAAATGATGGGGAATGTTTTATATCCAGGAAGAGCCAAGATTCCCTGAATAAAGAGAATTGTGGGAGCTGTTATGTAATTAATCTTCTATAAATGGTTCATGTAAATAAAATTTATGAAAGAGGATGAGGGTTCATTGAGGTGGAGAGTTAAAGGGAGTGGGAGACAAAACTCAGTGAAATTCATTAATGTTCAAATCTTAAAGGAAATCTACCCCATTTCCCTTTTATAAGTCTTTAAAACATCCTGTGCTCAGGTCTTTAAGCAGTGAAAAAAATCTCAAAAACATGGCCATGCTTTCCTATACTTGATAATCTCTCCATTTATTTATCCTTTAGAATCATGAGAAATGTTGTTTCCAAAGGGGGACATCCCCAGAAGAATGAGAAAAAAAAGCTGTGTGAAACTGATTGCTTATTCTATGTGGTCATTTAAAGTAGCAAATGGCAAGATGGGTATTTGTTTATTACTCTGCATTTTTCTCCCCTTTTGAAAGTGACTTCTAGAAAATAATGAATAATAGCTGCTATTAAACAAGCTCCACATAAGTTTGAAATGATTTTCCATCTCTGGGCCTTCTCTATGAAACTTTCCATGAATAGCTTAACAGGAAATCATCTCTTCATTTGTTGGAATCCTGTAGCATTTTATCTGTACTTCCTCATGTTACTTAACTATTAACTACTTAACTATTTCTGTCTCATAATATATATTACTTTATAAATATTCATGTAACATCCACCTTCCCCACTAAAATTTTTTACAATAGCACCCAAACCTGTTTCATCTCTCAACTTTTCAATGCATGCAGTAGTTGACTTCCCATATAGTTCAGACTCAGAAGTTATTGAATGACTAAGTGAATAAATGTAAGAATGGTCCCATTGAAAGCTCATTCTCAATATGTTGCTCATTGGATTTTATTTCAAATATTGACTTCCAAAGCAATGACTACAAAATTAGTATGAAATGGGATAAGCATGAAAATTGTTTTCAGGAATATCAAGCTTTGAATTTAGTTCTGTTGTTTCTTTTGGAAATACTCTATAAATCAGAAATACTTGTTTTGTCAAAATTATGACATAACTCTTTATAAATGTGCCCTTAGCTGGGTATATTCAGAGTTGTAGCATTTAAAGCTGAAATGAATCTAGAATTTAATTTTCATGCTCATATTTGCCAATAGTAAAAATTAATCAAAACTCCCATCCAAGTACTAACCAGGCCCGACCCTGCTTAGCTTCCGAGACTCAAAGAAAGCAATCCAATTAAGTCGCTAATAAGCAAAACCAAAGCAATGGAATTACAACATAATATCTAGAATATTATAAGATTCTTCTTTTGTAAAATATTATAAGCACTCCACAATGCATTATGTTAAATTACAAGATAAAATGCAATTGTTTAAAATATGTATTTAGAAATTAAAACATCAAAAATAATTCATTCATTAATAATTGGTTCTTATTTAGTATAAAAATAAATCAAATAGATAAGAAATAATTTATACAGATGACTAATTACATTTTTATAACATTAAATAAACAAAAATATCAAACTTTTTGGTTTGCTTCCAATTGAACAAAGAAAGTATCCACCATCTTTGACATGTGTACTTTACAATTCTGTATTTGTTAATTTTAGATAAACAATTTCAAATAAACAATTAAAATGTTTAAACAAAAGAAAACCAAAAATTTCTGATGTATTCAATTAGAGCCTCTTGCCACAATGTTGAGAAATGAGAGAGGCCTGAAAGTGTGTAAAATGACATGTTTTATATTGAGATTCAAACTTCACTTTGGGAGTAGGTATTCAAAACGGAAACCAAAGATTTTGAATAATTATTCAATCTTGAATGATTCCTGGTAGACACACATATAAGTCAAATCCATCATTTACTCTTGGAGTCATTTCCAGTCATACTCCCACTTAGGATCAAAAAAGGGAATGTAGCAATAATCTCTGACATAAGTTTTCTTTGTGGAATAGAATACTAATGAGGAAAGTTTTCAAAAGAGGCAAAAAATATATAAAATTTAAACTATTAAATTGGCTATCTCAAAAGAATGCCAAATGAAATGAATACTACATTATTTTATGATAAAAAGCCCTTAAAACTTATTTCAGTTTATTCAAACACCTAGATTTCCCATAGGCTTAACATAAATTTAATTGGATCCTACCTTTAAAATTTGGCCTGATTCTTGCATCATATCCTGATGTCCTTCCCATTAATTTGTCCAAGAAATCTGAAGGTGATAGGGTCTGCGAAGGTTGTTTTCCAGACCTGGAGTCATGGTCTTTGCAGAAAGCCGTCCTAAACACATCATTAACTTTTTTTTAGCAACAATTTCATTTTCGATGCCTGAGAGCTAAGGCTCACAGAATGTTTGACATCATGTTTTGTTAATATATGTGTTATGTTAGTAAGAAGAAAAAGAAAATTAAAAACTCTTTGGTCAACTTCAGAATTTGTACATTCTCTAAAGTTAACTTTAAATGATGAGAGTTAGAAATCCTGAGTCATATCTCCCAAATGTCCAAACTATAGCCATAAAGATGTTTAAGATGATACTACATGCATAGCTTATTTTGTAGATTTTATGGACATATAGTTAAAGCTGTTTCTTTCTAGACTCATCAGAGAAATGAAGATGATAATTTCTAAAATGTGATTGTCTTAAAATCATTCCCCCATGACTCTCAAACAATTCTTCCAGGATTTTAGCCCTTAATATAAATCCTCTACTTTTTATTGGAAATATATAATAAGATGGGCAGAACAAAGTAAACAGTGAACTAATTATTCCATTGCTTATTTTCTCACCTGCTAGATTCTATTCCAGCTATCAACTATTAATAATTTTCAATGCATTGTCTAAAAGAAAGGCTTCACTTGAAAATTTAACTTCATTCTAAAATAGGTCAACAATAACTATGTCTGTACTTCTATTATTTTATCAGATGTTATTTATATATTAACATTTAAATTGTTCACTCTCCAGTAAAGTAGTCATGAAAAATAACTTCCAAATCATTTTCTCTTCTGCATTATCACAAACACTAAATGTGATTGGAAAATTTCTCATATTTTCATTTTCCTTAAAGGGCTTATAAAAAGAGCCTATTTGGTTTGTAGTGAAATGAATTCTTTCAGAATACATAGTGGTTGACTGAATGTCTATTTCTTCCCTAAGGCTAATATTTTACAAGCTTTATTTTTAATAGTTTAACAAATAATCTTGTTAATTCTGTCACTGAGAAAACACCACATTTTTGCCAGTTTTTCAAAGTAGTATTAAATGCAAAGTATTAAGTGCAGAGGATTTAAACATTTGGTAGGAGTTAAAAATTGATACAATCATCTAAAAATACTCACATTCCCATATGCAGATTCATCTGATTAATCAAGTATTATTTAATTATGATGGTGGTGGTGGTGGTGGTGGTGGTAATGAAGGTGATGATGATGATGATGATGATGATGCTTCTAATGAAACCCAGCCTACGGTTTTTCTTAATCATAGTAGGTGTGAACCTGAAAGGAACATAGTGGGTTTTCCCAGTACTCGTAACATTAGCTATATGTTCCATTTCTCTTGGTTCTGTAAAAAAAATACCATAAAATCTAGTGAAAATTAAATGAAGAGTCCTACACTTTGTGGTATGAACATCTCCTGTCTCTATGCTATCTTAGAACCTCTGCCATTAGGGTGGCTATTTCACTTACTGGTAATCATCTGATAATTTGAAGTATAAACTGATTTGACAACTTATAAACTAGGTAGAAAATACACACATGCAAATAATGATTTGCCACTTATTTTAATTATGCACAGTCCATTTCTCATGCAGAGATAAATACAAACATGTCATATTAATTAAATTTTGGTAGGCATTCAGTTTCCAAATATACTGAGCAATGGAACATAGTGGTAAAATGAGATTTTAAATATTTTTGAGGTTTCAAGAAATTTCCTGAATTGTAGTGCTCATAGTATGCATCTAGTTGCTGAAATACAATAGAAGTTTCAAGTTGACTAAGAATTAGGGTTCTTTTATATTTTATATAAAATGAGCATGCTCCTTGTAAATTAATCCAATCACTTCCACCATATGAGAAGCATTGCATCCAATAACCATTTTAAATGACTTTCAGAGGAATTTGAAAGCAAAAAAAAAAAATCATCATTATATAGAAATGTAAAGAGCATGCAACTCATTAGACTTCCTTAATATCACATTGCCTGTGAAAATGTGTTGAAATGCATAGAGGGGGGTTATGGATCATAAAACTTGCCTTTGAAAATTTACCACCCTCCCACCATAATTACGCCTTTTAAAAGAACAAAAGAAATATAACTCTCCTCTTTAAAATTAAAATAATATGGTCCAGGGCATAGAAAAATAGATAAAAATGTATGACACGTTCTCTTTCAAACAGTTTTCATGGGGGAAAATATCAGCATGCAAAGTCGTTTCACCTACCTGAAGTGGTTTGTCTCTAAGAAAAATGCAAACAAGGCTGTCAAAATGTTCACTAGCTGCCGGTTCATTCCTGTTTCTGTGATGCTTGTGGAAAATATCTCCGAAATGATTCCAGAAAGAAGCTAGGACAAAGTATCTATTTATTGTCCAGATTCGAAATCTGGCAGGAATCTAGTTTCCTTGAAAATCAAAAAGAGATTTGGGTTTGTACAGTTTGCTGAGAAAAAACAAAAAGTGCCAGTCCTAGGCATCATGGTCAGGTCAAACCGGGGCTCAGGACCATCAGTTAACCGAGGAAAGACAAAGCCTTAGAACTGATGGATTCCCCAGCTGCTTTTCCTGGATAATAAAAATGCCTCTACCCTAATCGCATCACCATGCAAAGGGGGCTGGTGACAATGCCATGCTGGAAGTCGGGTTGCTGTGGCTTTTGTTTTATGTCCTTTCTGTTTAGCAAATCCCTTTTCTCTAGAAAATGTTCTCTTTTTAAAAGAAGTTGTAAATGAGAGAGAAGAAAGGACTCTGCGCGCTAGAGTGGGCACGGGGGAAGAGGGCAAAATTGCTGAGATCCTGTGCTGGAATGAGAGCTACAGAAAGAGACGGGAGACGTGATCTTACCCAGCCTATAAATTTCAGCACTCGGACAGCTCCTAGCTCTGAAGTGCGCATGTTTCCTTTTTCAGTCGCTTGGGGCGGGGGTCGGGGAGAGGCATTCAAGAAGGGACAAGCCTGATGTTCAAAGGCAAAGAGTGGCTTTCTGTTCAGGGGAAGGGTGCTAAAGGGGGGTGCGATGACAATCAGGAGAGAACAGAGATCAGGGTAGACAGGGAGGGTGAAGGAGATTAGGGTCTGACCCCTAGAAATGAGTCTGTTGGTAGGTGGGCGGGACGGGAGTTTGAAGCAGGAAAGGGAATACGGTCAAGAAGTGGGAAAGGGGAATTGGGGGAAGCAGAAAACAGAATCCAGAGTACTGAAATTATAATAGGGGAGTGGGTAGTTCACTCCTTGTCAGTGGAACCTAAAGGCAAAAGAGGAGTCCTGTGTTGCAGAGAAGGGGACATTCCCTTGGTATAGATAAGTCCGTGTGCAGAAAAAGGCTCTTGAAGATCAATAATTTAATTTAGAAGCCCTTTATGCCTTCTTCGCCCCTTGAGTGTTTTCGTTTGATTTTAGCCGCCTGTTCCCAAAGGATCTCTACCTCTCTACTAGGGAAAGTCCCTTCCGCTGAGCTTTCTTCCGCGGCTCAAAATCCTTGGGCATCCTATTCAATTTGTAGAGGAGGAAAAATAAAACAGGCCAGCAGGGGGCAGTAGCAATCTTTTTTTGCCCTGATTAAAGGTTAGAGTAGGGTTTCATGTAAGAAACAGAAAAGAAGGGTGAGACTGAGGGTTGAGTTTTCATCTGTCCATTCCAGGTGTTAATCACCAAGGAGGGCCATGCAATAAAGTGTAGATGTTCTCCTAAACTGGCTAAAGAGACAGAAAATAGTGAAAGTTTATAAAACCTATACAAAATTATGACAGGTTATCTTGCTATTTCAAAGTAAATTTACAAATATTATTATTACTAAAAGAGGAAAAGTAAATAGTCCAATGCAAGTAAATAGCAGCTTCTGGTAAGGAGAAATGAAAAATATGTGTTCTACCATGAGCTGATGAGCTATTTGCCTGTAAAATATATCTCTTTAGTCACCTTGGCACTCTGCTGCAGGTCTTAATCTTAAAACAAAATAATTAGTTTTTAGTCCATAAATGACTAATCTGTCCCTTGATTAATTAAATATCATAGCAGAGTAACAAAGGATTCTATATTTTTAAAAAGTAGGTTCTGAGAAAAAAATCACAAGTTCTTTTCACTTCTTAATGTTAATATAAATCACCTGAAGATCCTGTTAAAATGCATATTCTGATCTAGTAGGTCTGAGGTAGTGCCTTAAATTCTGCATTTCTAACAAATTCCTAGCTGAAGTTGATGCTGCTGGTCCACTGATCTCACTCTGAGTAGCAATGATCTATATGACCTTTTATTAGATTTCTTTCCTACCAAGAGAGTGAGAATATAGGAATCTCTCTTTAGATGAAAAGCAGCAAGTGCCGAAGCATTCTGCTTACATACAATCAATTCTTTGGATGTGTTCTCTTAGTTCTCAAAGCCCAGAAAAGGTGATTCAATTTAAAAGGAAAATAGTATAGTGTAGTGTGAGACAACCCTGGACTGCAGCTTCGAATCTGTTCACTTCCAAATTCATCCACATGGAAACTCTAGACCTGATTTTATCCCTGCAGTCCTGACCCAAAAAATAAAACCAAATCTTGGAAATATGTTTCTTCAACTGGTGCTATGGGGAAAATCATGTAAGAAGTTTTTGTGTTCAAGATTCTTTTCAAGGGACGCCTGGGTGGCTCAGTTGGTTAAGCAGCTGCCTTCGGCTCAGGTCATGATCCCAGCATCCTGGGATCGAGTCCCACATCGGGCTCCTTCCTCAGCAGGGAGCCTGCTTCTCCCTCTGCCTCTGCCTGCCATTCTGTCTGCCTGCACTTGCTCTCTCTCCCTCTCTCTCTGACAAATAAATAAAATCTTTAAAAAAAAAAAAAAGATTCTTTTCAAAAGAAAAAAAATAGGGCGCCTGGGTGGCTCAGTGGGTTAAGCCTCTGCCTTCGGCTCAGGTCATGATCTCAGGGTCCTGGGATAGAGCCAAGCATGGGGCTCTCTGCTCAGCAGGGAGCCGGCTTCCCCCTCTCTCTCTGCCTGCCTCCCTGCCTACTTGTGATCTCTGTTTGTCAAATAAATAAATAAAAATTAAAAAAAAGAAAAAATACATATGTAAACATGGAAGAGAATTATTTGTCCCAAGTTTGTTTGAGGTTGTAATGGTGCTTAAAGTAATACGGTCTTTGCAAATTATTTCATTCAATGGTAGAGTCTTCTTATTAGCCAGGAGTAGGGTGAGTAGGGAAATCTGTGACAAAGAGAAGCTCTGGCCAGCAGCATGAAATCACAGCATTTACTATTTTAAAGTTGGAAGGCACTTTAAAGGGGATCTAGTCTAGGCTCCTCATTTTAAAAAAAAATTTATTTGACAGACAGAGATCACAAATAGGCAAAGAGGCAGGCAGAGAGAGAGAGAGAGAAAGATCACAAGTAGGCAGAGAGGCAGGCAGAGAGAGGAAGGGAAGCAGGCTCTCCGCTGAGCAGAGAGCCCAATGTGGGGCTCGATCCCGGGACCCTGAGATCAGGCTTTAACCTACTGAGCTACCCAGGCGCCCCAGCTGCCTCATTTTTTTTTAAAGATTTTTTGTTATATTATTTTTTTATTATTTAAGAGAGAGCATGAGAACACGCTGAAGGGCAGAGGGAGAAGCAGTCTCCTGGCTGAGCAGGGAGCCTGATGCGATGCTGGACTAGATCAGATCCCAGGACTCCAGGATCATGAGCTGAGCTGAAGGCAGACACTTAACCAACTGAGCCAGCCAGGTGTCCCAGCCTCCTTGTTTTACTTTTTCAGCTCTTTTCAACTTGGATTCCAGCTCTATCAATCCACAGAAACAGGTCCCACCAAGTCTTACAATGAATTCCTTGTAACTAAGGCCAAAGGATATTTTTCTGTTGTCATCCTGCTTAACATTTCCTTGACCCTGAACATTATTGGTCTCTTTTCCCTTCTTTCCTAAAAATTATTTTTATTTTATTGTGGTAACAAGATTTAAGATGAGATCTATTCTCTTAACAGATTTTCAGTGTGCAATACAATATTGTTAGCTATAGGCACAATATTGTATAGTGGATCTCTAGGACTTACTCATCTTGCATCACTGAAACTTTATACCCATCGATTAACAACTCCCCCATTTCCCTCTTCTCTGTCCCTAGCAACCACCATCCTGCTCTCTTGAAGTACATTCCTTCCTTGATTTCATGATGCAGTGTACTCCTAGCTTGCCTCCTATTCTGTCTTCTTGGCAGGCATATCCTACTCTACCTGGCTTATAAAAGTTAGATTTCCTAAAGGCTACATTCTAGGTTTTCTCTTCTTCTCATACTATACTCTTAGACAATATTTTGCATGTATATGCCTTCTGTTACCCTCCTACACAGACGGCACACAAATATATATATATTCTATCCAGACCTGTATATCAAATTGCTTCCTAAAAAATTCCTGCTGAATGTCTCAAATGCTCCTCAAATTCCCCATGTCAAAACCAAACTTTTAATACTTGCTCCAAATCCATTCCTATTCTACTGTGGCTGTTTCATTGTTGCCAACCAAAAGCCAAGGCATCATCTCTAAGATTCCTTCTCCAGCACCCACAATATTTAGTTCTTCACCAAGCCCTATTGACTTCATCCCTCATATGTTTCCAAAATCTGCCCATTTCTCTCCATCTCACCCTCCACAACCTCAGTTGAGCCTTCCTTATCTCTTCTCTGCATTGTAGCAATACAATACAATAGTTGCCTTACTAGTCTACTTGATCCAATAGCTGATCCTCCTCCACCTCATTCTATACACTCTAGCCAGAGCAGTTGTTTAAAAGTCAAAATCTGATTATATCATATGCCCTGATTAACACTGTGGCTTTCAACTGATCTTTGGGTAAAACAACAACAACAAAAAAAATTACCTAATGTGACCTGAAAGTTCCACACGGTCTGGCATGCCTCTATTGTCCTTCACCTCATCCCCTACTCATCTCATTTCTTCCCCTATAGCTATATTAGTGTCTTTTTAGTCCCTCATGCTTACCTTATTGCTTAATCCCAAGAAATGCTTATGCCTCTCATTTTGTCTTGTTAATATCAACTTATTTTTCAAATCTTTGCCCAAATGTTATTTCCTCAAGAAGGCCTTCCCTTATCTGTCAACTCTCCCTATGATAGTCTTCCTTGGTACTCAGCAACTCTGAGTCAAAGAGCTTGTCACCATTGCATGTATACATATGTATCGTTAATTGCTTAAATGATGAACTTTGTAATGGACAGGGACAGCATCTGTATTAGACCATCATTGTACCCTCCTACATTCACTGATAATGACAATAATCACAATGGTTTTGATGATGATTAG